TTTTTGGATAATCTTCAGTAGAATCTTGCTTGCCTGTCAAATCAATAATATCGTTCTGTAGTTTCCGCACTCAGCTGGGTCACCCTTCTTTGGAATGGGAACAAATATAGATCTCTTCCAGTCAGTTGGCCAAGTGGTTGTTCTCCAGATTTCTTGGCACAACTTGGTGAACACATCCATGGCAACATCTGCTAGCGGAATACTTCTTATTTCCTTCTGTTGTTTTATTGCTATCGCTAAGATTTCCAATACACTATTTAATAAGAGAGGTGAGAGTGGGCATCCTTCCATAGTTCCTGTTCTTAAAGGGAATGCCTTTAACCTCTCTCCATTGAGAACAATGTTGGCTTTTGGGTTTGCATAAATACTTTTTACTTTGTTGAAGAAATTCCCCTCTAATCTTATTTTGCTGAACGTTTTAATCAGGAACGTGTTGGATTTTGTCAAAGGCCTTTTCTGCATCAATTGATACGATATGAACAGACACTTCACCAAAGAAGACATTCAGATGGGCAAGAAGCACATGAAGAAATCCCTAGCTCTAAGAGAGATGCAAATAAAAACAACTATGAGATATCATCTCACCCCAGTAAGAAGAGAAAAATTTAACAGAACAGCAAGCAACAAATGCTGGCGAGGTTGTGGAGAAACTGGAACCCATATTCACTGTTGTGCAACCACTGTAAAAGGCAGTATGGCGCTTTTTCAAAAAGTTTCAAATAGAGATACCATCTGACCCAGCAATTCCACTACTGGGAATATATCCCAAAGAGACCATAACTACCACCCAAGCAGATATATGCACACCCATGTTTATCATGGCTTTGTTCACAATAGCAAGGAGTTGGAAACAACCTAAGTGCCCATCAACAAACAAATGGATAGAGAAGCTGTGGTATATTCACACACTGAAATACTACACTGCTTTGAAAAATAAGGAACTCATGCAATATTATTCAAAATGGGTGACCCTGGACGACAGTATGCTGAGTGAAATATCTCAGTCACATAGGGACAAATACTGCATAGTGCCACTATTTTAAAACAGTACTGACATTGGGGTTGGGGGGAGACTGAGAAAGATGGGATAAATAATGTATACAGCATTGAAACAGATGAGGGAGAAAAATGTTTAAAAGGTATATGTGATTGGGTGTTACTGTCATGACAGGAGTGCAGAACGAAGGCTGCATAGCGGAGTGGACCTGGGGGGAGGGATTGTAAAATAATGAAAGAATTTTTCTTTTACTTTTCAAAGAGAAGAGTGTACTGGGTTGGGGAGAGGTGGGCAGGTAGGAAAGTGCAGCAATCAATGAATGGAAATCCAAAGTCTCTGTAGATTTTCATTAAAATTAATAATAATAAAATATTCGCAAAACGTGCGCTCTATTGTACATACAGTTTTCTGAGACCCGTTATTTCGGAACTGCATGGTCAATAGTTCTCCTTAGTCTGTCTTAATTTGGATGCTTGACTCTAGAGCAATATTTGTCAGACAGAATTTTGCCCAAAGTAGCAGATGAGAGAATTTTCTCATTATTCACATAATGGATCAGGTTTTGGGTCCACCTATCATTGCTTTGGGTGCATGTTTCTTGTTCCCACCCCTACTCCTGCTCTGACAGCAACCAGTTCAGTTCCCTCCCTTGGCCCTTCATTAATCTCTCAGCCCCACCCCTAGCCAATCTTGGTATGATAGCTTGGACCTCCACCAATCTCCATCCACCCACTTCCTCTTCACTCCTTTGTGATGTTGGTGTTCCTGTGCAGCACAAGTGGGATGTCCCCCTGATGATGTCTTCTCTCCTGAAGGTTATTGTCTTATCGTCTTCCTTTGTCTTAGCAGTGGCATGAGACAAGGGACATCAATACAAGCAGTGTTTCTTTTGTCTACTGTCCTTGGTCTGAGGAATGGTGTGGACAGTATCCTCAACTCTCTACTCTTTGTGATAGTTCAGTGGCAGGTCCTTGACTTCACCCTTGTATTTGATGAAGTTGATGTCTTGACAGGATCTTGGATACTGGTGATCCCCCCCCCAACCTTTCTCCTCCCGCCTCAATGGCCTGCAGCCCTTAGGCCTTAAGCTGTGGGAGCAATGGAGAAAATGGTGATTTGAAGGCGGAGAGTGAGGGGTAAGAATTTCCCTGTCCAAGGGAGGTGGGCTTATATCTCTGCAGAGGTCCCACCTTGGTTTTCATAAGCTGGCATGGGTCTATCTCTCATCCTTATTTTAAATTATAGGTATTTCTTAGGAAGAAGGCTTTAGAAGTGTTAGCAATCAATAAAATTCATTAAACAAGACATAGGCACAGCATAATCAGTACAAATTATTGAAATTAGCATATAGTAAAAATGAGAACTCTATATAATTGATTCTATCATTAACCTTTAACTTACGGTGACCTCATGTATGATGGAATAAAGGCTGTCTGGTCCTGTGCTATTCCCATGATTATTACGGTTTGGACTTTTTTGATCCACAGGGTTTTAATGGGCTGTTTTGTTGGAAGTAGAATCCCAGGGCTTTCTTCCATGTCTAGTGCAAGCAGTGAATAATACGCTTAGTTGCTAATAAAAACATTTGAATTTAGAGTTTATCCTCAGATGCTTTGAAAGAAAACCCCAGTGATATGAAGCTTCTGGTATTCTGAAGAATCAGCTATTGAAAATCATGTAGTGATTCTAGGACCAGGTAATTGGTTATAGAGCCAGGATTTAAACCAGTGTGTGCTCAAAATTCTTGGTGCAATTGTTAGTATTATTAATAAGCATGTTTCACTAAAGTTAATGTACATCAAGAAGGATGGTATTTGCTCATATTTTCTCAAATGAGACTATTTTACACAATACTATTCATTATAGATCAATGCCTCATCTAGTAGCATGACCATTTGGCCATTATCTTTTTTGTTGTTTTTTTTTATTTTTAAAATTTTATTTAAGTATTTACAAATAAATTGATTTTTCACTAATATAAATTTTGTTTTATAATGATGAAATCATAAGTTCATTTGCTAATTCATACACATGACACTCTCTCTCTGAAGCCACCAAAAAAAAGTTGTGGAGGCTCTGGGCTGGAAGAGGAATCTCTCAGGTCCATTCCCTCTTTATCAGAAAAGACACAATTACCAGTGAAGAGTAGGAACTAAATGGACTTCCTCTCTCTCTTCATGAACAAAAGTGATGCTGTTTTACATTTAAAATTTATTTCCAATAGTTCTTCTGGAACAAGGGGAAACAAAGATGCTTTTAGCTCTGGCACCGCCTGTTTCCCAAATATTAAGAACAGATCTTTGAGGCTATTGCCTTCAGTCAGCATATGGATGACTCCCTTCATTTCTCTCCCAATCCCCAAATCCACCCAGCCACCATGCCATCACATGATGATTTAATGAATCCTTCAGGACCTAGATGTCCTTGCTCTCTGGCAGAGCCAAGGAAGGCCGTACAATGGGTGTGTCTGCTGGGTGTGTCTTCTCTCCACTCTTGGCAGATGCTTCAGATTCTAAGACAGCACCTATTTTGGGAGGGTGGATGCTCCATAGTCAGTCTGTGATGGGAATAAGGGTGCATCTTTGCTCATGGAGTTGAAACAGGACGGGAAAGGACAAGGCCTGGTGCCCCTCAGATAAAGTACTCCTTTCTGCTGCTGTCACCAGTATCCTGGAGGGCAGGATCATCCTGCAGGGCCACATCTGCACTCTCAGCAAACTCTGTACCCTTGGCCTCATTGGTGTGGTATGTGCCCTTGTGCCGGTACATGTAGTGTAGCATGACAAGGAGGAGGCAGAACAGGACGAAGGATACAGCAATGATCACACCTGTGGGCAGTAAGAAATATATAGATCTGTATGAAGCATGCAGCCTAGTTGGTTGGAATTAAGGTCAAGACCCACAAAGTTTATGCTAAGAACAGACAAACTTCAGCACCGGGTGTGGAATTCATTCTCTCCTCACTAGTATTTCTGTCTAGTGTGTCCTCCCTATCTAAACTTATCTGATTCTGTCCCTACTGTTTCTATCTACTTCACTTCTTTTCTTTCTTCCTTTTCCTTCCTTCCTTCCTTCCTTCCTTCCTTCCTTCC